GGAGTGGTTTGTCATTTCCTTCTCTGGCTCATTTTATAGATGAAGAAACTGAGGCAAACGGGATCACACAGCTAGTAAGTGTCTGAGGCCAGATTTAAACTCAGGTCTTCCTGACTCCAGGCCCAGTATTCTATCTACTATGTCACTTAGTTGGTAGTCGTTAACTGAACTACTACTAGTAATTAAAATTACTGTGTATTTATTTTATATGCAGCTATATGTGTACATGTCTCCCCTGAGAGAATGTAGGCTCCTTGAGGGCAGAGACTATATTCACTTTTGTCCTTAGCACAGTCCCTGGCACACAGTAGGCCAGGTGCCCTAATTTGGGGTTTAGGAAATATGGTCCCCACAACTAGGATAAAAACTATCCAGGATTCTCTGGCATGGGGAGTGGAAAATGGAGACTCCTTTGGAATAAGCAGGCTCTCTAAGAACGGAACTGAGGTAAAGTGTGGGAACTTGGGAAGAGCATCCAAGATCTTGGAGGCAATATATGCATGTGCTTGCTCCTAGGCCCCTTCTCAACCTGAGCATGGCCTCTTTTTAAAAATGGCTCTGCCCCTGGTAATGAGAGGTCTACCAATCCAGGTTTTCCAAGTGGCCAAAAATAAGTAATAAGTGGCTTGGCTACCAAATAGGTAAGCCATTTCTCCTTTCCATTCTTTTTAAGGACTGGAAGGGCTGGGCCAGGAGCTGTTACTTTAAAGGGCATAACATTTTGAGTTATTAAAATCCTTTTTCCTGAAGGCCTGAGAGCCAGCCTCAACTGGCGTTTTAGGACCTGGAAAAGAGCCACCTTGGGGCCTGGCAGTATTGACAGCAAAAAAATGGGCCTGCAGTCTAGTCTGTCTGAGCTCTCTCCTGGTCTGGAATTCTGTTTGCTTAACTCTCTAATTGCTTCCTTAACTTCCTCTGCTGGCTCTTAACCATCAGCTTGAGGCTGGCCCAAAGAGAAGGCTTTGTGGGGAGCCCCCATAGTGACCTGTCTGAAAGGGAACCCAGCCTGGGTTCTTCCTGACAGTCTTGTTTGCAAGGCCCCCATTCTTCTCTGGGGCTGCTTTTTCCTTCATAAATGTTGACTTAGTGGTAGCCCCCCCAGGGTGAAAGCCAAAGAGTGAGAGAGACCTTGCCTTGCAAAAAATGTTATCTGTCTTCTGATGTCAGGCAGGAGAATGAGAGATTAGCACAAGCACTGCCCTAGTCTCCCTAATTCATCTCCTATGGATATCTGAGGGAGTGTTTCCATATTATATCAGCACAGAGTGCTTTAGCTTATACTTGTAGACTATAAGGGGCCTTTCTTGGAATTCTCCATTCCCTTCCTCCTCCTCCTCCTCCTAACCTGGGGTGACTCAGAAGCCTTCTAAGAATCAGAAAAAACTTTGGAATTTTATTTCATAATATACCTGAGTTGATTTCAACTCTAGGCCCCAGCTGGCTCCTAATCACCCCTATACTCCAGAGGCCCTCAGCACACCCTGGAGCAGATCAGAATACCCAGAAAGTCTCTAGAATGTTTCTTCTCATTCCCCAGTATGCCTGAGGCAACCCAGTTCTGATCCACATCTCTGGTCCTTGGGATCTCAAAGCCACCTCAAGGAGTCTGACCTGGATGCTGGCTAAGACTGTCAGGCTCTAAACCAGCCTGTGTTTGACATCTGGCTCTATCAGCCAATTCTTGGGAGAATGAGGCACCAGGTGTTCAGATGTAACTCTTCCAAACTGACCTGTACCCTGACCACTTTGGATTTTCCTTCTTTATTCTGCCACCAATTAATCTGTCCATGCTCTGATTCAGTTAATTTCAACAAATATGTACTGAGTGCCTACAGTGTGCCGAACATTGGGCAGTAGTGGGCCCCCAGTGGTGTGTACACACTGGTAGATACAGACATGATCCAGACTGGAATGAATGTAGGCCTTTTTAAAGGCAGGAACAGTGGCAGTTCATATTAGTCGGTAAAAACAAGACATTTATATGTATCTCGTGTTACAAAATGGAGCTTAGAAATGGCACTAAGTGGTGTAAAACAAGGATGGCTACCTTTCCTAGTCTCTGCCAGCTGCAATAGTTTAAAAAACAAAAAAGCTTTCTACTTCTCAGCCCTGTAGCATTTTTCCATACATACCCCTCCCTCCATCTCTTCCTACCCCATGAGGGTTGGGTAAAGCTATGTTAGGCTCCCCAGTTGCTTTTTGGCTGCCTTTTCCTCTCTGCCCTCTAGGATCAGTTTTCACATGCTGTGAGCCATGGATCTAAAAGTCTAATAGTGGGTGGTTTTTTTTTTTGTTTCGTTTTGTTTTGTTTTTGGTGAGGAAATCAAGGGTGAGTGACTTGCCCACAGTCACACAGCTAGTAAGTGTCAAGTGTCTGAGGCCGTGGGTCTTTCTTGGACAAGAGGACTCTAGGGCCATGGAACTAAAAGTGTTGAAGAGACCTTATAGACAAACTCCTCCATTTTAATGGGGAGGAGGTCAAAACCCAGAGACTTAACCAAGGTCACGTAGCTGTTTAGGTTCCTAAAGTTATTCTTCCTTGGAAGCCCCACTTAGTTGTGGTCCCACCTCCCAGTATGAACATTCAACAAGTATTTATTAAACTCCTACTATATTCCTGTTGCTCTGGCTGGCCACTGGGGATACAAAGAATGAATAAACCTCCACTCAGGAAGATTACAGACAAGGACGCATAAATATATTTAGTATAAATAGAAAGTAAATAAATGCAAATATTTCAGAGTAGTTAAATACAAGGAAGTTTGGGGGAATCAGGAAAGGGAATCAGGAAAGGCATCATGCAGAAGGCGATGTTTGAGAGGGGAATCAGGTAGAAGTAAGAGGGAGAATACATGCTGGGCATGTGGAAATGGCCATTGCAAAGGCGGAGAGATGGGAGGTGGAGATAGAAGGTTGTGTGTGAAGAGCAGAGAGACGGCCAGTTTGGCTGGATTACAGATGCTATCACACACTGACCAGTTAAGTGAAAGGGCAAGATGACGATACTAAGATGCAGAGACAATGTTTGTTCCTGCCTTCCAGGAGCATTCTATTGAATACTGTGGCACTGGGATGATTCCTTGCATAAGGGCTGTGGTTTGGGCTGCTAAAGATTCATGATAACAATATCCTATATCCAAGGGGGACTTAGCTTACAAAGTAACAGCTTACAAAGGCCCTTCCAACAGCCCAGGTAGGGTAGGCCATGCTGGGTTTTTTTGTTTTGTTTTGTTTTGTTTTAAATAACCCCCTTGTGACAGTTGAAGCTACAAGCTCAGGTGTAATGATTCTTGTCCAAGGCTACCTGGTCAATAATACGTGGCAGAGCTTGGGGACTTATTTCCTTCCTCTCTTTGTTGTTGATTGATTGTTTAAGTCATACCCGACTCTTCATGACCCCATTTGGGGTTTTTCTTGGCAAAGATACTGGAGTGGTGTGCCATTTCCTTCTCCAGCTCATTTGACAGATGAGGAAACTGAGGCCAATGGGATTAAGTGACTTGCCCAGGGTCACACAGCTAGTAAGTATCTGAGGCCAGATTTGAACTCAGGAGGATGAGTCTTCTTGACTCCAACCCCACTTCTTGCCACCTTGATACTAGTCAAGATTTTGATGCTGATTTCTGAAGGGATGTTGACAGGTCCTGGATCTTCTAGGCTTGACATTTGAGGGTGGGGATCAGTTATGGCCAGTGGATTTCCCTATTGGTCTCTTGCTTCATGACTCATTAATTCATTCACCTGGTTTTCTTCATAGTTCAGTTCAAGCTTCCCCTCTTAGACAAGATCTTTCCTGATTTTTTCCCCAGTTTCTACCGCTTTCTTCCCTAAGGCTATCTTGTCTTTATGATTTTAATGATTTTATCTCGTATATGTTTTGTGACTACTTATACCCAAGTACATTCGGTAAATTCTTCCCTGACTGACTGATTATAAGCTCTTTGAGGGCAGGCACTATTTCTTTTTTTCCTTTGTATCCCCAGCGCCTTGCACCATGCCTGGCACCTGGAAGACAGTTAAATAAATGATGGTTGATTGATTGGTGGCTAGGACTTGAAGCCCAGGGGCGTTCTCATTCTCCTCTCACCAGCCTCACCCCACCAACACCCCCAGCAGCACAGGATGATTAGTTCAAGGGATGGTTGTCAGAAACCATTAAAAATGCAGGCAGCAATGCAGAACATTAGCAGTCTCATGTTAGCAAGACATCCCAGTGTAACCGGAGCCAGGGAGACACGAATGAGGCCTGTATTCACAGAGGGAGACACCAGATCACCCCCTACACTCTAGTTCCTGCTTCTCCCATTCCCCCGGCCTCAGGCTCTAAGAAAAAGGCACTCCTGTGTAAGCTTGGAAACAAGACCAGTTTAATGAGCTGTTCATCGATGGAGAGGTCAGGAAAGGGCTTGCGGCTCCACATGTGTTCACCGACAGTGTGGGCCGAGGGGGGAGGAAGCAAGTACGACAAGGTGGTTTGGGTGGTTTGTTCTCTGTTCTGAAACCTTGACCCTTCTTCTGCAGCCCTGGGCCTCAAGCGGGTTCCCTCCTGATGATGTTGGAGAACCAGGAAGTGAAACTGCCCTAGCTGGTTGTCACACCCTCTACGGCTATAGGAAGTGGTGGATCTGCCAGCACAGACGGTCCAACTGGCTTTCCTTCTCCCCCCAAAAAACCAAAAACCAAGGCTTAAGGAAGAGCTGGTATAGACTGTCCCAGCTAGCCTTAGCCACATACACACAGGCAAAAACTCTCTAGTAATGACTATTTTTCTTTTACCTACCATCTCATCAAACAGGAACTTGGAAGCAGCCTACAATGCCGGCTGGCCCAGCTCCTCTCTCCAGACTGCCTCTGGCTCTGTGCTTTGCATTATGCTGCAGACAGAACCTCAGCCTGCTGGAGTCATTTGGGTGGTTGTTATCTAGCTAGGCCCGGGTTTCCCAAACAGGTGGACACATGCCATTTGTATCTAACTATTGATTTGTTTTCTTGCATTTCAGTCGTTCCAAGGAAGTCAAGGACGAGCTTACCTCTTTAATTCAGTGTGAGTGTCTCTTTTGGAAGTGGTATTAAATTGTTCTTTGCATCTTTGGAAGATGGAAAAAGAAACCCTGGAGGATAATTAAACAGTAGGAGCTGCCTCCTGTTCTGATGAGACACTGCCTAGGACATAAATTAAAAAATACAGTCCATGGAGGATTATGTTCCCTGGTTTGCTTCTGATGGTCACCTCAGGGATATTTGTTTTTCTATTTTTGGAGAGGGTGGTGGGAGGGACTAGAGAGACTAGAGAAATAGCTTCCAAATTAAAATGTCATCTCTCCATTTCTTCTCCCTTCTCTCTCTCCCTCTCTTTTTCTGTCACAACACATATATATCCCTTAGAGCTGCAGGCTGGTGAAATATTTTCTGAGACCCTTGCTTCTCCCCTACCCACACATCTCTCCCCCAGAGGTATTTCCCCAGCCTCCTCAGGCTAGAAGTTTTATAACCAAACTCAGCAAATCTCAGGGTTTGTAGAAGTCTAAAATGTCAGGGTGTGAAGGGACCATAGAGTTCTCTCCAGGAATGGAGCCTATGGACCCTCTTCTCAGAATAATGTTTTTAAATAAATTAAGTTCTTATATGTGAATATATATGTGTATACATAATTGGTTTCTTTTGTTTTATATTACATAAGGAAACCAGTTATATTGGAAAAAAGTAGTTCCCCCCTTCCAAGTTTGTGGATCCTTCTATCCACAGACTCCCAGTGGATCTTAGGTTAAGAAACCCTATTCTATTTCAACCCACTCATTTTAAAGTAAGGAAGCTGAGGCCCAGTGGAACAGGCAGAAAAAAAGGAACCCAATCAGGGCTGAGCCAACTTCAAACCACTCAGCAGGACAATTAGACTCAGAGTAGACCAGGTTAATAGAACAGCTCTAACCCCATCCCTATTCCCTCACCCCACCCCAAGTGCAGGGGCATGTACTGCAGTTTCCCTGGAGAAGAAAGTCCTGAGTGACTGAAAAGTCTTGGGAGAAGACCTGGTACATATGGACCTATGTGGGAGGTGTTCACTGACCCTGCATATGTATATGATCACCTTCCATTGGATATAAACTTGGTTCAGTATTGCTGGAAGGGTCATCTCCATGGAGGGGGTCATTTAAAAAAAAAAAAGAATTAAATAACGACAACTGTAAATTGAATGGTTTTATCATTACTTAAAGAAATATTTAATTTCATAGTAAGTTTATTATTTATATTTATTTATAGTTCATTTTAAAAAAAGTAGATTTGATGCTTAAGAATGTTTTTCAAAGATCTTAAAAGTAATTATGGGACTTACAGTGGAAAGAGTGTTGGGTCTGGTGTCAGAAGACCTGGGTTCAAATCCTATCTGTCACCTGCTGCCAATGTGACCTGGGGCCTGTCACCTTATCATTTTGGGCTTCAATTTCTTCATCTTGAAAATCGAGGGTTCTAGACTAGATGGACCTCTAAGGGCCCTTTCAGCTCTAAATCTATGCTCCCATGATGCTAAGACTCTCTGGTCTACAAAGTGTCCTTTTCTGATACCCATTACATTCATAAATTGAGTTGGATTTGAATTTGGGTTTGAAAGAGAAGTGACTAGCAAAGGAAGGCTTTCCTATGTAAAAGAAAAAGGACATAAACAGCAAGCCAGACTTCAGCCAGAAAGCCCATTGTCTCCAGCAGGCACACTGAACCAGAATGGAACAATCTGAAATCACTTTGGCCCAGGACTTTCCTTTTGCCTGTCTTTGGGGCTTTGCTCTTGATCCTGAGTCATTCTTCCCCACCCCCACCCTCCACCGCTTCCCCAGGAGCAGCTGCTTTTAGGGAGTTCTTGCTGTATTCATTTTTGCAGGTAGCTCAGCTCAAGGGACTAAGGATGCAGATGTCCCTGGCACTCATCTCCCTCTTTTCTCTCTCCCCCCACCCCCACCTCTTTGGCACAGAGTTAATGTGGGCTGTGGACCTGCAGAAGAGCGAGTGTTGCTAACGGGGCTACACGCAGTTGCAGACATCTACTGTGAAAACTGCAAAACCACTCTGGGCTGGAAATATGTAAGTATGATGGTGTTTGCCCAATGGGAGTGGGGGCATGGCTTCTGAAATAAACACTAATGATAACTGAGTGCAGACCTCACTAGGATTACAGAATGCTTTAGAAGAAAGACTGATAGTCATATAGTACTTTTAAGATTTTCAGAACATGCATTTGAGCCCCATTTTCTGCTCACAAAGAGCTCTGTGGGCTGGGTGCTGTCCCCATTCTACAGATAAGGTAATTGAAGTTCAGTGAGGTTATATGGCTTTCCCATGGTCATTCAGCTAGTTAATGTCAGTCAGAAGCAACATTCAAATCCAGTTCTCTACTGACTCTTGAGCCCAACAGGTTAAGTGGTGCAAGTGTTGCACGAGATGAGAGAGAGATGACTTGCTCAAGGTCATACAGTAAGCAGAAGACTCAAAATATAATTGGTTTATAAGTATATTTTATTTATATATATATATAGGTGTGTTATATAAATATAAGACTCAAAAAAACTCAGCACTCAAAAATCTGGGTTTTTTGAATTGCAAGGCCGGTGGTTTTCTCCTGTACTCCATGGCTTCTCTGAAGGGGCAGCAGAATCACAGCAAAGAGGGCCCTCTGTGGTTATCTAGTCTGACTCATGTCAACAAATGGGATCCTCACTATAGTGCCACTTAAAAAGAAGCATAGCCCATCAAGCCCCTAAGGAGGAAGAGGTGGTCTTAAGATATTTCATTGCACTTTGAGATTGCCCTAATCATTAGGAGGTTTTTCCTGACAGCAAGTCTAAACTCCAATTCTACCCTCTAGGGTCAAATAGATCAAATTCAATCTCTCTTCCATATGATGATCCTTCAAATACTTCAAATACTCTCATGTTCCATGTTCTCTCCCCACCTCCCTCAAGTCTTTTCTAGGCTAAATGTGCTCACTTCCCTTAATAGACCCTCACAGGACATGGACTCAGGGCCCTTCTCTATCCTTATTCCTCTTCTCTGTCTATTTTCCAGCTTGTTCTTTGTCAAATAAGAGAAAGTAGGACCAGTAGCCTCTCTTCTGTATTTGCCCTTTTCTGGTAGTCTCAGCCAACACTGAGATCAGAAGACTGAGTCTTGAGATCAGACTCTGCCTTCTCCCCACCTTCATATGGAGCCACGTTTGGAGGCCCTGTGGGGTAAATTGCTATTTCCCTGGGGGATACCTTGTCCTTTCCTGGGCTAGGATGAGCGAGCAACAGTGACCTACTATCCCTGGAACTCTGGTTGCCTGGTATCATGAGAATTTTTCTGGCTTGCTTTGTGGTGGTAATCCAACCCCAGATGCAGTTGCCATGGTAACACTATCCATTGGTTGAATTTTTTTCCTTTTCATACTGTGTTTCGTGCATGTGCACACGCATGCACACACGAACTTGCTATATATACACACAGCATATATTCTCTCAGTCAGCCGTCTGACATGCTGGAGTGCTTGAATGTTAGTATGCAAAAAAGAACAACCTCCCCATCTTCCAAAGGACAGTTTATCTTTTAGGAAAGGACAACTAGTGTATCAGTTGCACTCTTCTTTTGTCCTTGCCAGCCCACATAATCTACTTTGGATTCTAAAATGATCATAGAACTAGAGTTGGAAGGGACCTAAAGGCTAGCTAGGTCAACTCCCCGCCTCATTACCCAGATGAAGAAATTGAGGCCCAGGAAAGGCTGTTGTTGTTATTGTTCATTATTCAGTATTGCTGTTCTGCGTCCAACTTTTTGTGACCCCATTTGGGGTTTTCTTGGCAAAGATACTGCCGTGGTTTGCCATTTCCTTCTCCAACTCGTTTTGCAGATGGGGAAACTGAGGCAAGCAGGGTTAAGTAACTTGCCTAGGGTCGCACAGCTAATAAGTGTCTGAGGCCAAATCTGAACTCAGGTCTTCCTGACTCCAGACCCAGCACTCTATCCACTGTGCCACCTAGCTGCCCCAGGAAGTTGGGGCAGGCCCTAAGAATTTTCCTAAAGTCATGCAGGTAGTTCGAGGCAGAGCTGAGATTTGAACCCAGCTTCTCCGACTCCTGAGCCAATGCATTTTCCGTTGTACCACATTATCTCTCCAAGGAGGAACCTCTCTAAGCAGGAAAAGGAGCAATATTCTTCCACGGGTAGGCCTAGCAACAAGAATCTTTGCAGGAGGAGAAGGGGTCCTGGAAACCAGATTTCATTCCCTCCCTCCCCTACATTAACCTTAAAAATGTTTGGAGTATCAGAATTTTGTCTGATTTACTTGGGCCCCCTTATATTTTGAGGTTAGTCTGAGAGTAGGCATCATCAACCTGGTCAAACTGGGTAGCGCTCTTTCTTCCCTAGTATTCCAGTAAAACCTCCTCAAGGACTGAATGTCCCAAGTTCAGGTCCATTTTACAGAGCCACGTCCTTCCAGAGCTAGAAGGGGGAACTCAGAGGTCATCTGGCCTAACCTGATCATCCTGCAGATTTTTATCCTGCTTCTTTCTTCCACCTCCTTTTGTTGATCAGCTTGCTACCCATTGGTTTGAGAAGGACCACTGGATGAAAGGAAGAGGCAGGATTCTAAATCAGTCCATTTTGGCTTGTGCTTCTCAGAAAGGGTTCTCTGAAGAGGAGTTTGGAATTAAAAGCCAGACTAGGCATTTTTGGCATATTTATCCATTTCCTTTGTCCACGATTTCTCCATCCCTCCCATTTCTATGACTCCCTGAGTTGACTCTCATTTTCTCACCATGATGGCTGAGTTTGGAGACTTTCTAGAGGTGTCCAGGTAGCTGTGTGGTGTTGGTTGCTTTGTATGTGTCAGTTTCAGAAGGAGCAGATGATAAATCTTCATGAGTGTTTTTACTCACCATCCCTGCTCTCAAATCCCTACCCTGCAAATACTTGAAGTGGTATCTCGTTCTCCACCCTTTCCTATTCTATTTTTTTTTTAATTTTATTTTTCTTAATAATATTTTATTTTTTCCAGATACATGTAAAAATAATTTTTAACATTCACTTTTATAAGATTTTGAGTTCCAAATGTTTTTCCCTTCTCTTCCCAAGACAGCGTGCAATCTGATACAGGTTATACGTGTACAATCATATTAAACATGTTTCCACACTAGTCATGTTGTGAAAGAAGGATCAAAACAAAAGGGGAAAACCAGGAGAAAGAAAAAACAACCAAAAAAATAGAAAATAATATGCTTTGATCTGCATTCAGACTCCATAGTTCTTTCTCTGGATGTGGATAGCATTTTCCACCATGAGTCTTTTGGAATTTTCACTTAGATCCCTGTATTGCTGAGAAGAGCTAAGTCTATCAAAGTTGGTCATCGCACAATGTTGCTGTTACTGTGTACAAAATGTTCTCCTGGTTCTACTCACTTCACTCAGCATCAGTTCATGTAAGTCTTTCCAGATTTTTCTGAAATCAGCCTGCTCATCATTTCTTATAGAACAATAGTATTCCATTACATTCATATACCACAACTTGTTCAACCATTTCCCAATTGATGGGCATCCCCTCAATTTCCAATTCTTGGCCACCACAAAAAAAAAAGCTGCTATAAATATCCTATTCTGTTTTTGAAAAGCTATTATTCTTTGCCTGATGAACATCATCAAATATGAGCACTGTACATAAAACAATGAACCCCTTAAGTGGTACTTGCATTATTTTTGAAAGAATATAGCAAATCCAGCATGTTAGTTATCATTCCTGAATTCCCCAAACCTAGCTGTTAGTTTCAAAACTGTCTTGCTTATTTCTTGAATCTCCTGGTATTCTATGTGTTTTCATCTTCCCCCATTCTAAAATCTGTCCCACACCCACACCCATGCACAAATATACAAATACCTAAACCCAGAGCTATGGGAGAAAGGGAAATAAGTGTAGAGTTGGTAGTACTTAAGCTCTCTGCCTCTATCTCTGTCAGTGTCTGTGGGATGATTTAACCCTCAAAAGTAGTAGATCAAAGACCCAACAGGATCATAAATTGGAAACTGGAAGGGACTTAAGAGGTCAGTTAGTCCTAATAACCCCTCAGCAGAAAACTGACTTGCCCAAGGTCACACAGTAAGGTGAGACTTTAATTGTTCTGAAATCTAAAGACACCTGAGCTGTAGTCTCATCTAACTGCAAGACAAAGGAAATTTCACACAAGTCACTTGTTAAGTGCCAGTCACTAGTGCTAGGACCTGGAAACCCCCCCCCCCAAAAACAATTAACACTGCCTTGCCCTCAAGGAACTTAAATTCTAATGGTGGAGACAACACACACATCAGTAATTGTATACAAAGTATTTGGGGGAGAGACTTATGTCGAAGGTGGCATTGGAGCTGAGTGCCAACCAGCAACCAGCACTTGGTGCCAGCAAGAACAGGACTTTCCCTTCTTGATTTTGGATATAATTAGGAGGGTATATCCATCGATGTAGCATCTGAGCACAGGTTTTTACTTTATTTTTTTTTTTTTAGTTTTCAACATTCAGTCTTACGAGATTTTGAGTTCTGAATTTTTTTTCTCCCTCCCTTCCCTCCACCCTGGCCCAAGATGGCAAACAATCTGATATAGGCTATACGTGTACAATCATGTTAGACATATTTCCACATTAGTCATGCTATGAAAGAAGAATCAGAACAAAAGGGAAAAACCACAAGAAAAAAGAGAAAATAATATGCTTCAATCTGTATTCAGTCTCCATAGTTCTTTCTCTTGATGTGGATAACATTTTTCATCATGAGTCATTTGGAATAGTCTTAGATCATTGCATTGCTGAGAAAAGCTAAGTCTATTAAAGTTGATCATTGCACAGTGTTGCTGTTACTGTATACAATGTTCTCCTGGTTCTGCTCACTTTGCTCAGCATCAGTTCATGTAAGTCTTTTCAGGTTTTTCTGAAATCTGCCTTGAGCACGTATTTTTAGTCATACTTAGTAACTGTTGGGACTAGTTTTTTCCTTCATTCAACTAGCCAAGAGAGAGAAAGAAAGAAAGAAAGAAACTTGTGATTTCATTGGTAAAGGCAACTTCTTCCTGTTATAGATTGGTACCTGCTCTTACAGTCCTAGAGAGGCATTTAGAGACATTGAGAAGTCAGTTAAGTGACTTGCCCCAGGTTTGCTTAGCCAGTGTATCTCAAGAGAGAGGTCTTAAATCCAGTTCTTCTGGAATCTGAGGATGTTTTCCTATCCATTATGTCAGGCTGCCTCTCCAGTTGTTGTTATGTCCATGACAGTAAAATTGTCCTCTCTCTCCTGTCACTTCTCTTCTTTCCCTACCTCCTACCCCATTGTAGGGCTTTTTAAATGAGACTTATTAGCTAGAATGCTTTAATTTCAGAGGGTAACCCACCAGAAGTATGGAGTTTTCCTCTGAGACACCTGATAACTAATATTGCTTGGCAAAAGTTTCCTCCCACTGCATAGTTTGCTATAGCCTGAGATTTCTGTGGAGAAGAAGCAGAATAACAGGTTATAAATATGTAAGTGAAGTAAAAAAGGAATCCTTTTTGGTCTCCACAATGCTTTGCTTCTCTGCTCGGAGTGTCACAGCACATTTCAGAAAGATTCCAACCTTAGTATGCTGGGAAGATGGTGAGGATGACATGGACAGACTTGTTAGGGAAGAATCCCATGTAAATTTAATAAGCTAGAGGTTCCCCTAAGATAACATAGCATTTTAAAGATGGTCTTTTTTTTGTTTGTTTGTTTAATAATCTTTTTTTTAAAAATACTAATTTGTTTTTAGTTTTCGACATTGACTTCCATAAGATTTTGAGTTCTAGATTTTCCCCCCATCTCTCCCCTCCCCCCACCCCAAGATGGCATGCAATTTGATTAGGCTGTACATATACATTCATAGGGAACCTATTTTCACATTAGTCACATTGTAAAGAAGAATTAGAACCAATGGGAGAAACCATGAGAAAGAAGAAACAAACAAAAAAAGATCAGATAATGTGCATTCAGACTCCATAGTTCTTTTTCTGGATGTGGACAGAATTTTCCATCATGAGTCCTTTGGAGTTGTCTTGGATTCTTGCATTGTTGAGAGGAGATAAGTCTGTCAAAGTTAGTCATTGCACAATAAAGACCTTCTTTTGATAGAAATCATTGATAGAGTGCTGGAGTCAGGAAGACCTGGGTTCAGATCCTCTCTTTGACATTCATTAGCTGTGTGATCATGGACAAGTTACTTAACTTTTCTGAACCTCAGGGAATTCTAAAAATCATATGCAGTGGAAAGAGTTAGAGGACTTGGGTTCAAATCCTGGCTGTGTTGCTTACTAGTTTTATGACATCAGCAAGTCACTCTTCTGATCTCAGTTTCCTCATCTCAAAAATAAAGGTCATTTACTGTATTAGTTTCTTAAGTTCTTCCATCTCTAAATTCATAGGTAAGTGATAGATTGATTGCAGTCTGAAGTTCTTACACAACACAGTCATAGGTCCTTGATATATTAATGTCCTTGTGGTGATACAGTGGGGTCAGGATGACTTGAGTTCAAATCTAGCCTCAGGTACTTACTAGCTCTATGATTCTGAGCAAGTCACTTAACCTCTGTCTGCCTTGTTTTCCTCATCTGTAAGATGGAGGTCATAACAGCACCTGCCTCCTAGGGTTTTTGTGAGGATCAAATGAGATAATTTTGTAAAACTGCTAAGCACAGTGCCTGACACCGAATAGGTGCTACATAAATGCTTATTGCCTTCCTTTTCCTTGTAATAATGAGTATAATGATGATAAAGTTTAGGCACAGTCTTCATTCTGTGGTGAGTTAAAGAAGAATTTGTTGAGTTGTTTCAGTCATGGTCTTACTCTTTGTTGACCCCATTTGGGGTTTTCTTGGCAAAGATATTGGAGTGTTTTGCCATTTCCTTCTCCAGCTCATTTTACAGATGAGGAAACTGAGGCCAACAATGTTAAATGACTTGCCCAGGGTCACATAGCTAGTAAGTGTCTGAGGCTGAATTTGAATTCAGGTCTCCCTGACTCTAGGCCCAGGCCTCTATCCACTGTACCATGCACCCTTACAAGATAAAATGCTAATTAATCGAAGTTATCTCAGTTCCGTTGGTTAACCCAGGAAGAGAACTCCCAAATCCTAATTTCCATCTTGTATTATAGTTCCTAAGATCATAGATTAGGTCTAGAAGGGACCTTTAGTAGTCATTTATTCCAACCTTCTTATTTTTCACAGACTACCTGACAGACAGATATACAACGAGGCAGATGTTTGCTCAAGTGCTACTTCTAAAACACACTCGCTGTAGGACCTTAGACAAGTTAACCTCTCACTGTTTTAAGCAACCCAGAAGATTACCTTCCAGAGGATTTGCCAGTCTATACTGTTGGAGGGAGTTTCCTCACCTGGATGTTCTATATAGCAATGGAATCACAATCCTGGTCCCTCTCCTACCTTATCTTGTTTTTTGTTTTTCCATCAATTTTTATTTCCCAATATCTATCTCCTGCCTCCCTCTTCCACCTAGAAAGTCATCCCTTATAACAGAGAATATAAACGGAGGGAAGGGGGGGGCGGAGCAGTTCGGCCAATCTAACCAACAGATCAGTCAAATCCCACAATGAGTAACCACAATATTCCCCACCTGATGTCCCTGACTTCTGCAAAGAGGGGGCGGTGCATTCTTAGAGTTTTTCTTCAGGGCCAAGCTTGATCATTACAATTACACAGTGCTTGATTTTTTTAAGAAATTGTCATTTTCCATTTATACCATCGTATACGTTGTGTGTATTTTCCTGATGTTGTATCAGTTCATACAAATCTTCTCATACTTCCCAAGTAGTCTTCATTGTTTCTTAGGGGACAGTAATATCCTGTTACATTCATTAATAACAATTTCCATGCCTCAGGTGATGGGTACCTACTTGGTAATGCTGTTGCTTTTTATAGATGAGGAAGTTGAAGTCCACAGAGGTTCAAAGTGGAAGAGCCTGGGTTTGAACCCAGGTCCTCTGACACTAGGTTGAGAGCTCTGTCACCACACTATGCTCTTTCTCTTCCTCCTGCTATATACGCTCCAAAACCAATATGCTTCTTCCACGGACGTGGCCCCTCATCCCCTTTCTCTTTTTCTGTTGACCAGGAACACGCCTTTGAGAGCAGCCAGAAGTATAAAGAAGGCAAATACATCATTGAACTGGCACACATGATCAAGGACAATGGCTGGGATTGAATGGAGGGAGTCCCCCCCACCCAGTGTCTGAATGAATGCCATCCAACTGAACATTATATCCAAGAGGGGAGAGAGTGACTGAAAGCTTGGTTCCATCCGTTTAGAGGCTTTGGCATCAGGAGCATCCTCCTACCCTATCTCCATCTTTATTGGTGACTGGCCTCTAAATTGCTGTCTCTCTGTTTCTTTGCTTTGTATCTGTTTGTGAGTTGACCCTGGCTTCTCTCTCTGTTCTAGTGTTGGCTAAAAACAACGGATGCACCGAGAACTTGGCAGCATTCTACTTTAAGGAGAGTTCCAGGGACCCCCCCAGAGCAGGCAGCCTTAGCTGCCTTGTATCAGGATAGCAATGGCATGGGGGTGTGAGAAGGGAAGGGAGCCCTGAGTGTCCCAGGGCAGGGGTGGGCATGGGAGGGTGGAGGTAGGAACTGCTGCTCCTTAAAAATCCTGGGAACCTAGGAACCTTGAAACTATCAATTCGTCCAGAAGGACAAAAAGGAGATTTAAAAAAAAATACCTCATGACTGAATTCTCTTTGAAGCTTCTGTTCCTGACATCCAACGATGTGCCAGGTCAGCATGAGAGGAGGGCTTAACTCCTGTGGTTCATGCAGTTGCAGGGGCAGGAGTCTGATTGCCCTGGGCTGGTTTGGGGGCACCCTATGTTAGTAACAGTCAGTGACTGTGGGGAGCTTATGATAGGGTCTGTATGATTTGTTCTCAACAAATATAACTATCAAATAACTATCTACCTATCCTATACCCAGTCCTACTTCAAGTTCTCACTTATGCTCCCCTATCAGGGCAAGTAGAGATCTGCCCTTCACCAAGTATTCAAGATCCTGTGCTCCCTGGCAAGTAAAGAGGCCAGCGGCCTTGACCTGCGACCTAGTAAGTCCTTCAGTTACAGGGACAGCAAGTTGAGAGCTCCAATATCAGCAAGAAAACCGTAGGAAAGCCAGCATAGTTAAAACAACTCCAACTGCCTGACCCATTACCTGACTCATGGCTCTTAGCTGAGCACAATGGATGGGAGTTGGAAAGGGGGAATTTTAGGGGATGAGGGGGGAAAGACATCTCTAGGTATCGAGACCTCCTCCCTACTTCCCCAAGAGATGGGTGGGTAGGAAACCTGCTTCCCAGGAACAGGGATGATTCCCATCCAGAGTTTGATTGGTTTTGATTCCAGCCCCATCTTTTAAGCTGTGGAAGATAAAAGCTTTTGGAGATTATGGTTAACGTGTTCGGCAGGCAGATATTTAAAGCCCCAGTGTTATTTTCCCAGAATTTGAATGGGGAAGAAGTATAGTAATTAACCAAAGTGGCCCAGCAGTGGGGACTGATTCAATTTGATGTCAAACTAGTAGTAACAAATTCTAATCTTACCTTTTCTTTCTTGGAGGGTAGAAACGAAGAGGGGACGTACTTCATGGTATTAGTGGGGGTTGGAGGGGGAAACCCAAGCCAGCCAGGCTCAGGAGTGAAAAAGCTCTGTCTCACATTTAATCTTTCACACTGTGATGTCTGTTCTACAGCAATCCAGCCAGTATCTGGTGTGCTATGTGAGTCCCACTCAAACTGAGTTCATTTCATTTCTCAGGCCTACAATACTCTTTATTTTTCTGATGATCCTATGTATCATTCTCAGCATCTCATTTTCCAAGGAGATTGAACCTGAAAAAACTTAAGTGTCGGTTGTCACAAGTAGTTAATTCAGGAGCATAGGGAAACCCGTGCAATGGAGTGGGCTCTGAAGGCAGCAGATCCAGGGAGCCCTCTGGGATGGAGTCTGTGATGGAAAAAGAACGTGGCTATGGGAGGGCTATGAAGGAGGTGCAATCTCTGGGTTACTGTCAGGTAGCAAGAAAAATTCTGAGTCCATGTGGTTTTGGCACAAGGCTGACCTAGGCCTGGAAGGTCCCACAAAACAGGACTTTTCTTCCTGTTGATTGGCTGGTAAAGGACTTTTCCCTTACAAAACCTAGTTTTTGGTTCTGTTTAAAAAATAATAATAATGATAATAACAACAACCAAAAAAACCTAACAATTGGGGGGAAAAACCCACTGCAAAATCATTTGACCAGTCAGTTCTCAAAACACTCTGGAAGATGAGTAAGAAGGGAAACTGAGGCATAGTTAGATTACTCTGTTGCAGCCTCCTGGAGGAATATTCTTTCTGTTTCTCCTAATCCCCTAGATTGCATCAGAAAATAGCTTCAGTTTTCACATTCCCAGGCTAGCTTCCCAGCCCTGAAATAGCTGGATTCCTACTCCCTCCCTACTGAAATGTGGGCCCTGGGCCCTTTCCTTTATAGATTTGGCCTTCTCCTTAAGGAAAGTTTCACCTGGTTTTTAGAACTAAAAATGAAATGGAAATTTGGCAGATTTGACATGGCAGAATGCATGATGAGTTTGCAGAGAAGATCAGACCCTGGCCCCATCCCCGCTTTTTGCCCTGGGAGAGTTTCCAGGGCTTGCTCTGTGAATGGTGCCTCCTCCTGGTGCCGTGAGTAGCCCTTCTGCAGTATCCCAAAGGTGCATGGCACCAGCGATCTAAAGAAAAGGCTCAGCAGCAGAACAACTAGCCCCCTTCATTAGGTTTCTGTACACGTTGACTAAACCACAAGTGCTTCTTACAACTTTAGCTTCATCCACAGCTTGTTTCATGTCTAGCAGTGTTGGAGACCACAAACAAGAGCTCAGACCTTGTCAAACTTGTGGACTCAATTAGGTCTTTCTCTTTTTGTTTTTTTTTTTTCTCTTAAAATTATCTACTCAGAGCATAACCAAAGACCTCACCCCATGGCCACTGGTAGGTTCAGCCAACTGGGAGCTCGTGTGGGCGTGGCTCGGAGGGTGGGAGGAGAGAGGAAGGGAGGGAAGGGGGGGTAGTTCTTTACCTCAGCCAGCAGCTGCCTTCATTTGGGACTGAAAAACCATTAGCAGAATCTCCAGTTTCAGCTCACTATGGCTCCACCTTTGGATTGAGCTGAGACCCTGTGCGTTGGGGCCTATAGGCTCTGTGGGCTGCCCCTGGCACCAGCCTTGAAGCTGGACGCCAGTGGCTTGAGTTGGTTGGAGCAAAGCAGCTGCAGGCCAGCTTGATGAACACAGGTGTCCATCAGGGTACTACATCCATGCTTAGACATGGCAAGGTCAGTCTGTGCTGGTAGGATCAGCGTGCACAAAGGAAGGATCCCCCTTTCAGCAAATTTTCAAAGGGTAATATATATATATAGAAGAAGAAAAAAAACATTCTCTTGTGAAATATACTTTTGTAAATAATATTTAATTTTTTTAAATAATATATTTGGTGCTGTTTTCTCAGAGCCCCTGAGAGCACTTTTATTTTTGTTTTAAAATTTTACTGTTTCCTCTGCATTTTTTGAAGTATGTTTTAAGGGAAACATATATACTTTTTTTTTTCTAAGTCTGTCATTTAGTCTAGGGAAGGCAAGAAAGCTTTGCTTTTGCCTTTTCCTGGTAGAAGTGACATATAGTGAATCATTAGGTTGAACTGAAATGTTTTTCTTGCACCAGTATTGGCTAGAAAAAAAAAATTGAGGTGAAGTGATGTTAGTTGTGGCTTCCTCTCATTGGAAGACTTCCTCTCATTGGAAGGCCTTTAGGTCTATTGTTTTTAACTGTGCATTTTTTAAAGAACATTTTCCAATGGCTCCTGCTTTTCTTTTTACAGGGGACATTATGTAAAAGTTTACACACCTCTTGCAACAAGGCTTTTCTTTTCCTCCTCCCCCACCTTTGTGTTGTTATGGGCTTTTTTTTTTTTTTAATTTTAATTTTGTTTGCACTCTGTCTCTAAGTGGACCAACAGCACAAAGCCATAGAGAATGCATCTTACCATGCCATGTACAGGCAAGGCTGTTTGCAGTGCCGGCTCTCTGGTGCACCCTCCCCATCTTCTCTGTGGCACAACTTGGATGAACTACAAATGAATCCTGTCGTCCTTGTGGAGATCTAAGAGTGAAACCTCTTGTATGTTTTCTCTTTGCTAACGTGAGCGTGTTAATCGAGTATTCTGCGGCTCCCAAGTGTTTTAGAAGAAGCCTCAGCATAAACAGGAACTCGTGTTGGTTGAATAGACATGAAATGTACACATGCCTGTAGGCAAATGAATTTGTGAGGTCAGAATCCCTCAGGGGTCAAGAAGAGGCCTGGGAAATCAAATCCTGGAAAACAATCAACTTAGATGTTTTTTTAAGTCAGTCCAAAAATGAAAAATCACTATGGGGTGGGGGTGGGGGTTGTGGTGGGGAGGGAGGAAGAGATATTTAATTTTCAAATTAAAATGTATAAAATAATCTGTGGCAAGATAAAGATACAAAGAATAAGATGTAAGCTATCCTCAACATTACCAAATTCTTAATGCCCCTTATGATTTTGTATAAAATTTTGGTAAGAAAGTGGGAGCAAATTCCCTTTTTTTTCCATTTTGCGAAGACTATCTTTTCAATACCAGTCTGTCTAATGATGCTTGTGTTTACAAACCGTATTTGTTGGGTTTTTGGGGGTGGTTTTTTGGGGCATATTTTTTCAGGTCACTTTGCTTCAACAACAAAGGCAATTGTTTTTCAATAATTTGTCTTTACCTTTTTTTCCTGTATTTGTACATAGTGATTCAGTATTAGAAGAAAGTGCATTGTTTTCTCTCATTTCCAATCTGTGTTGGTGCTCATTTGAGAAAATAAAGTTTTCAAATATTCTGAGAGTGTTGGCCTTGTCTATTCCGACACTAATCCCCTCATCCTTTTAATAAAGGGCCCAGTTTAATTCATCTTGACATGTGAGGCAAATCAATCTAGATTTAGAAGGCAACTCTCCGGGGATCAAGTTTCCTGCTTTGCAGGGATGAGGGGTGGATTGGGGCAGGGAGAGATCACCCTTGGTATCACCACCATTTTAAATGGAACTGAGGACCATAGAATTGACTTATCCAAGGTCATACATCTAGTAAATGGCTGGCAGGGAGGAGCTGGAGTGGCAAGATAGAGCTCAGATTTCCTGCGAATGTCCCTTCCTTTATACAGTCATACATCCCCCTGTCCAACATTACCAATGGGTTTCCTGAAAATACATCTTTAAGTGAAGCAATGTTAAAGGAGGCAGTTAATACCATGGGATCGGTGCTCAGAGGATTGGAGCTGAAGCTGCCTATGTGTAGGGTGTGATAGAGGGACCAGGGGAGCAGGGCCAAGTAAGCCTAATGCTATTAACAAGGGGCTTCAAGGCACTGCCTGGGCATCTGGGTATAAATGATATTGAGGACATAGACTGGAGTCAAAGTTATATGAGCTATGTATGCCTGTAGGATTCTGTCTCCTGATGGTTGGCCATTTCCCAAGTTCATGGACTCAATATACAAGGGGTCTGTGGCACCTCACCTATCCCCCCACACACCCCCCTGCCAGGTTAAGAACTGCTCTAAAACAATTCCTGACCTCCTTTCCTAAACCGTAAATAGTGGGTATTACTCAAACCAAGACACTGGCATTGGATGTAGAGAATGCACCAAAAATGCATGAGATTTTATTTTTTAGCTGACTCCGCCCCCAAATCATCTTCCCCTTTGTGTTCCATCTCTTGATGGAAACAAGATGGAAAGAATTGTTCCAGGGAGAACGTGATATTTGTATGTTGTGCCCAGGAAGGGAAGGGCCTAGAACCAGAGGGGTCCCAATGAATGTGCTCAGGAGGGGATGGAACTTTGATTAGCTGACTGCTCCCCTCAGTGCCTGAAGCCATCAGCAGCCCCACAAGCTCTCTCCTGCTGGTCCTTTGCCAGCCAGTGCCTTCTGATTGATGTTATCTCCAGAATCGGCAGTTCACATCAAGGCTAAGTCTTGTTGAAACAGACTTGACAGGCTTGCAGTGTGCATATGGGGATGGGGAATAATTTAACCCCTAGAGGACTATGGGTGCCCAGTACATTTTCTATGCCCAGTGTTCTGAGTTCCTTCTAGTGTCTTGGTATTAGTTAGATCCACTATTCAGGGTTTAGGACAGGAGTAAGGAAGGGATTGTTTTAGAGCACAGGTCCTTAATGGGGGGAAGGAGAGTAACAGACCCTTTTGCATGTTGACTTCAGGGAGTCCATGAACTTGGGAAGTTAAATCTTTAACTGAAATTTAGCATTTATTGGGGCAGCTAGGTGGCGTAGTGGATAGAGCATTGGCCCTGGAGTCAGGAGAACCTGAGTTTAAATCCAGCCTCAGACACTCACTAGCTGTGTGACTCTGGGCAAGTCACTTAACCCCAGTTGCCACATAGAAAAAAAAATTGGCATTGACTGCAATTACAAATTGAAAAAAAACAAACAATATTCTGAGAAGTCCACAGCTTTTACCAGACTATTAGAAGGATCCATGACATTAAAAAAAATTGGTTGTAAGCATTTACATCCTTATTTCTCTCTGATGTGTCAGTATCACCTGGATGCCCCACTGAAGACACTAGGCCCTAACAGATGCAGTGTCTAATGTATTTAAGCTTTGAGAAGAAACTGTCTTTCACTCTGCAAAGCATTAAACCAAGGCTTTTTGTTGAACAAAAGCAGGTGACTTGGTCTAAATGAGTATTTTCTAACCAATGGCCCATATTCTGGCACTGGGCCATGGCAAATTTTTGTTGATTTACAAAATCTTTAGTCCCAAAGGGCCTTACTTCTTAAAACCTATGAATTTAAGGACACTGACCCAGCTTCCCTGAGACTATTTTCCCAGGCCCACCTCTCTGAGGGCAGTGGTGCAGTGGATAGAGCTCTGAGCCTGGAGTCAGGAAGACTTGAATTCAAATGTGACCTCAAGACACTTACTAGCTGACTGATCCTGGGCAAGTCACTTAATCCTGTTTGCCTCAGTTTCCTCTTCTCTAATACGAGCTAGAAAAGGAAATGGCAAACCACTCCAAGATTTTTGCCAAAAAAAAACCCCAAATGGGGTCACAAAGAATTAGACAAGACTGAAGAACAAATACCTCTCTGAAACTACAGAGGACGCTATCCAAGGTAAAGATGTTGAATAATTTACTAGTCCACAGTGTAATGGTTTTTAAGAGACTTCAAGATTGTAGATTATGAGCTAGAAGGGGTCTGAGGTCATCCAATCCCTTTTCTCCAGTTGATGAGGAAGCTGAAGCCTGGGGGTTGTAAGGTGACTTGCCCTAGGTCACACTGGTACTGAGGGGCAGAAGGAGGCTTTAAAACTCAGGTTCTCCGACTCCAGAGCCAGTGCCCAGCTAATTTGGACCAGGTAACACTGGTCCAGGTAGAAAGGTGAGTTTCAGAAATAAGATACTGCCTATAGAAAAAAAAACCTGATGTTGTGAAAAGGTCCCTATATATAACTAACCCAAATCTCAGTTCAGAATAAATAAGATTAGGGAAAGATTCTTCTCAGTCACCTTTTGCTGTTTTGTCTTAAATAACCTCCCCTGGACCTAATCTGGTCATTAAAGCTTTCTGTTTCTGGTTCTCAAGCACATCCCTGGAAATGATACATTAGTCTAAATAGCATGAAAAGGCTCATGCTAATATCTTACTGTGGTACGTTGTATTGTGTGGGAAACAGTGATATGACAAGCCACCTGCCTAACCCCCCACACCCCCGAAATGATTTTAAGATGAATTTAGGATGAAGAGGGATAATACCCAGGACAAGGAGCTGATAGTCCCATTGTATTCTGCTCATGTCAGGTCACATCTGTTGAGTTTTGTGTTTGGTCCCTGACACCATATTTTAGACATTGACAAGCTAAAAATCATCCAAAGGAAGGCTACCAGAAGAGTGAAGGCCCTCAAGGTCATACCCTGTGAGGAGTGCCTGAGAGAATTGAGGAGATTTATTTGGATAAATGTCAGAGGAAATGTGAGAGCTGTCTTCAGAGTATTTGGAAGGCCATCAAGCGAAAGTCGGATTAGATTAGTGCTACTTGGTTCCAGAACACAAAACTGGGAGCAATGAGTGAAAGTTGGAAAAGGAGATATAGGCCTGATGGTAGGAAAAAAAAATCCTAACAATTGTAGTGTTCCAAAGGGGGTTTCCTCAGGAGTTAGTGAAAAGACCTTCATCACTGGAGGTCTTCAGGGTCAGGTTGGAAGGGTTGAACTGGATGACCCCTTCCAGCTCTGAGATGCTATAAAAACCAATGTTAATTTAGAGAACTGGTCTTTGTTTAGAAAATTCCTGTAATGTCTGCCAAGCCCTCATTTTGGGCATGAAATGAGTTTTTTTCTGTCCTCCCTACCCTATCCCTCCTATTGTGAACCATGCTTCAGTCAACTCTTCCATATCCTGTTGTAAGTTGGTCATCTGCTTTAGGGATTACGTGTCCTGTGAATTATTTCTGGTTAGTGTTCTGACATTTGTCCCTTGAAGAAGTGCCTGTTATTAGTCCATTCTGGCTTGTCTGTTTCAGATAAAAGCCATGATGACAAATGTGTGCTTGGGCAATACCAACCAATCTCAAATAAGCACTTCTCCCTTCCATCTCTCTCCCAGAGTGGACTTTCGGTCTACGGTGAACTTTAGGAAGATAAGCCATCTTTGCCAAGAGTGATTCTAATCCACCTACTCCTTTTGCTGACCTTGTTAATCCTGGGCTAGCGTCACTCAACTCTTTCCCAGGTTGTCCACCTTAACTGCTTAGCATGGCCAAGGAGTGCTAATTATTAGCCTTAATTAATTGATTAGGAAAGGAAACTACCGCTTAAAAATCATAGACTGTATTGAGCTTGGGGGATAATCTGATATTTTGGATTACCTATGTTCCTCTTCCATCAATGTGAGCATTAAATATATGTAGAATTGTTGAAAAGATGGCTCAGCTGAGAAACAACAACTTGTCTTTGTCTGGTTTAACAGTTTGAGTGAGGAAGGTTTGGGCATGATATAGGCTATATGCCATGACTCTCCCACTTACCTGTGTGACCCAGGGCAAGTCACTTAACGTTGTCTGGGTCTCTCTTTCCTCATTCATCAAATGAAGAGGTTGGAGTAGATGGCCTTGAAGTTCATAAACCTATCCTGGCCTCAGATTACTCATTTGTCAAATGATCAGGTTGGACTAGATAACCCGTGCAACCGTCCAACTAAATCCATGCCCCTAACATCCTTCATAAGCAATTGGTCACAATGCCAGTAACCAATTACTTTTTAAAAAGATTCAGCCATCGGACATTTTTGAGCTCATTGAGACGTGGTTTTTTGGTTTGTTTGTTTGTTTTTTTAT